TGCGATACGGACGTAAAGCTCGTCGAATATCACGACCTTTTATTATTCCTGAAAAGATACAGAACCGAGTCGGACAATGGCCCGTGCACGCTCTTGCGTAACACACCGGCCGATTGACATTTTCAACGGAAGCGTTTTCAACGCGCTGCGATTTTCAAACGGCGACGACTAACTCGATTTAATGCATAATCCGCCGCATGCGAATAAACGCGTACACAATTGCATTGAGAATTTTCGACGAAGTTAAAGAAAAATTTTTAGCCATTCTCGACCTTTGACATTATCTAATGCTACAAGGGTCACTTGTATTCAGGATTAATTGGAGGACGTATTACGCAATCCGTGAAATCGCGTTAGTCTTGCGCCTCCCCGTAATAACCGTAACGATTACGTTACTCGTGAAGTCACGAGATACCCAAATTAAAAAAGAAAAGCAAAACACGTTACGGCAATTTCATGAAAATTTTTCAGTGAACTGACGACTAGAGTCTGCGAAGTCATCTAACGAAGCGTGAACGTGTCAATTTTAAAATAATTATTAATTACAAAAAAAAAAATTACAATCCCGCCGAACTTCTCGACGACAATTAGATAACCGAGCAAAAGCTTGCCCCGCCTATAATAAGATATTTAATGAAATAGCGAAATATATCATTGGGAGCAATTCCACTTTTATCCCATCGAAAACACAGTGAGTCCTAAAGCTACCAGGTTCCCACCTAGTTGACGAAGTCCTCGATACTTGATCTGAGGGTTCAAGTATTTAAGAAAAATTTTCATGCGCATACGTGACATCCTCGTATGCATTACGAGACAGCGTACCTGTCTCAGCCAATGTTGATACGCGATTAAGTGGAAGACTGTGACTTGCGTATAAATATAGAAATGATTACGGAGCGCTTAGTTACACCCACTTACACTTTCGATTCTTATATCGACGTACCAATTCTAAGTGCCGAGCAGAATCCCGCGAACTGGTCGGGCAACTTTCGAGTATCGGGTTCTCAGGCGCTGTCTACTGTAGAGATACCCCATATAAACGTCATTCGCTCTCAGTGACTTAAGGACGTACAAGCGAGATAAGACGTTATCAGTTGAGTCGTAAAAGTCATTAAAATCAAACGGTTCAAAGGACACGTATAAACAAAGAAAAGAAAACCCCAATACTTCTTGCTAGTCAAAAATGAGAGTGTAGAGCAAGGTAAATCAAGGTCGCCGATAAAGAACCAGATTACCGATAAGGATTGATAAAAATTTTGTTCCATCGCAGATTAACGCTGACGATAGATAAGCGTTAAGTAACCGTGGGAAGGCCTCATCTAATCCAGACACCCTGTACAGTGCAATTTTTACACGCTCTGGAAGTAACATGCGTGCCATGTGCGTGCACCCTAACGTGTGGGTATACATATATGCATGTGAATGCGCGTTCACATGTGGCGAGTCGATGCTGGCGTGTACGTGCTATTAGCAAACCCTTTCCTTTAATGGCGAACGTTCTGAGTCACTCAGCGTCGAGCGCGTAAATAAACACGATTGTCCTTTAAAGCGCGTTCACATCGAGCGACTCCTCAAGAAAAATTAGCGGCCGATGAGCTAACGTAATTATGATGCTTTCGATCTAGCCTAACCCCAAATCTTAATCTAGCGCCATCGACCTCCGTCTACCGGTACGATCAGCCCACCGGGTACCGTTAATCAGTTTTCGCGATAGTAATTAACGAACTGTCGCTACAGCGAGATTCGCCTTGTCGTTCGGTCGCTGAAACAATTTACACAATAATTAATAACTTACTAATTAATTGAGGAACTATTTAAAGTCTCGTGAATACCTTCTTTATATTTGACAGGGATCTTCGGTCTGCATTGTAAAGGCGCATACGCATGAAGAGTTCTTGGCGACACGTGCCGTATGAGGGTTACAGTAAATAATATTGATTGTAGCGTAGTTAACGCTCCACCGTGTGTATACACGAAACGACCGAGAATACCGGACTATTAGAGCATTGAGGATAGTCCACTTTTACGTAGGCTGCCTTTCTTCTACGTATACACGGTGAGCCTAGTAAGAAAAGGATGTATAGTTGCGCACGGCGGGATGCAGTTTTAATAAATAAAATTTGTAGCGGACTTGTCGCTGACTAGTTACTTCCATTTCCAATGGACGATCCCATTAACGGTCTTCGCAAGGATGCGTCAGCCGGGACGATAAATCGACTCGTTTAACTTGGCGTGTAATTCCTTTAAAAGAACACGGCAATGCGACACGGGCTGACAGTCGTACAATTGAGAATGGACCGTATGTACATATGTACCAGCATTGTTGGGATACTGGCACAGTTTACGATGAAAGATGAGAATCGATTCGTCGGTCTATGCGTGTAACCCTTATTAATTAGTAAAGAACCGTAGCTACGTAATCACGACGCCCTTTGGACTTTGATGAAATTAATTATATACATATATACTGATATATCGCTCAGCGTTTTCTCTCCACGTGCCAGTTAGCGCCCACGCGAAAAAAAAATTATATAAAAATTCAAACGCAACTTTCGAGGACGATGCAGAAAGGATTCAAGATGTCTGATGTAGATTGTGTCGAATGAAGATATATGTAAGATAATTTTATCTTGAAATTCCATTGGGACTTGGTATAATAATAACTTTATTAAGGTGATCGAATAATAGACATCAGATGTAACAGGTATGACTAAACTGAATAGCCCTGTAGATCTTTAGGTAATGTAACGGGTGTCTACGAATGCCACAAGCAGTGTAACTTGGACTACCTTAAGTCACGCACAAATAAACAGCCTGCTATGAAATCACTGACCTCGCAGTTCGAAGCTAGTTCATTATGAATCGATCCCTTGGATAAATTCAAGAGTATTGATTTATCGATTGCTAGAATTACTTTGTTATTTTAAATCACAACGTAATTCCTGCTCCAGAACAATTATCCTTGTTACCTGTTAAAAATAATGGGAAGAGTGTTGCGTTTTCGAAAGCGTGGCTAAAGATTAAATCCCATACTTAAAAAAATATACAAGAAATGTCTTATGAGGTCTAAAAGTGTGGAATTTAATCCTTAATCATAATTTTGGAAACGCAACACTTTCCTCATTCTTTCTTTTTGTACGTGGATAATGATGAGCTATTGTGTTTAATATACTGAGCGTGAGATCGTTCTGAGTCAATTCAATTTTTTGTATACTTCAAGTTTCCTATGGCGTGCACGTATTCCGTATTAACGTAACACCTTGTTAGTCTACATAATCAATAGTGCAGTTTCTCCTATTCGTACCAAAAACTAGTAAAGTTAGTCGTTGATATTCAAACGAAGTTTTATTTTAATAGATGCAACAATTAGTCTACCCTAATGGAAATTCAGAATTTGTAGCAAGGATTTAGTGTGATATTAATATAGGTGAAACATTTCAATGAAGACGCGTACAATATTATAATGTAGAACTTAGCTAAAGGCTTATCAAACTTAAAAAGAATTGACAGCCTACGCGATAAATCTCTACATATATCGCCTGGATTGAATCATTCCTTAAATATCCCGCTAATTCCGCCATTGTTAACATCCTGACATTCGTTTCACCTGGATATTTTGTCAAGACTCCTGAGACTGGACTTGGCTTACAGTGATGGGAAGGACAAAAGATGAAAAAAAAGGAACGAAGAAAGGAATCACAACAGCGTTTAAATCCCTGTCGTCGGTTAAGAATACTCTGGTGAAAGGAAGTTCCTCCATTACCGGTCGGGGATCGAATAGTCAGATGCTTTATGAACGTCGAGAATTACGTGGGTTAATAACATGTACACTTATGGGGTACAGACACGCAGATATTAGTAGGTTATGTCCGTTTGTTCTCCTGTGACAAAACCGCCAACGCATCTTGAACTCGTTTCGAACCTTACAGAGTGGACGTATAACCATGCGCAAACATGTTGTAGCTAAGAGGTTAACTTCAGGAAGGGTTGGAATTTTCGCGTGGGGCTATAGTGGACGTCGCTGGTACATAGAAACGATATCCCGAATATGGAAAGGTCGACGGGCGCGAATCGAACGAAAAACCGGTTGAAGCCGGTGATGGCGTTCGCAAACCCACGCGTTATCCTCGGAGAACGATCTGGGAGTTGTGAGAAAATTGTGAAAAATTCTTGACAAGGATTAGTGTACAATAGAGGATACCATTATTTTTCATTTCACTCACCATCAGTCCTTTTGATATTTATGCTGGTGCCCATCTTGATCTCGAACATGTCGTGGTCCATGGTCATTTAATCAATTTCGCACACGGCACACCATAAAACGCCCGGTTCCTCGCGGGATAATGATTTGACTCAATGGTTTTCCTTGGTTCGTTTGTGATTCACGAGCTCCTGGAACGGCTTCCCGGTAGTCGTTCACTTCAGCACGCTTCGTTCGAGAGTTGACAGTTACGAATCCGTTCGCATTCAAAATCCCCTGGTCGAGACGTGCGCCAGTATTTTTTCAGAGAATCCGATTTACCAGGCACGCCCGTTTTAAAGTTGCTGTACGATACCAGCGTGCTGCGAAAACCACCTGACGTCTCTCCGATAATTTGTACGCACTCGAAAACGATCGGCGACTTGGTGATCACATTGAAAATCCTTGGATTTCGCGAGACGTTGGGTTTTGAGCCGGGATACACTGCCAGTGTCCGTTATTGACAACGGAAAGACTACGAGCGCCAGCTCTCGGTGGCCTGCGTTCGGGACGCCATCTATCGTTGACTATGAGCATTCGTTAACAGACAGTTGAGTTTGAATTTACGTACAGTGCTGCCACCTTAATAGCCTTGAGGTTGTGGGAAAGTTGACCGGCGTCCATTTGATACTGTTTTATCAAGACTTTCTGATAATATACCGACCGTCTTAGAATAAAATTTTATCAAACATCTTGATATCAGTATTAATTAAAAATATTTATTTATTTGATTATAAAGAGATATATAATTATTAATAAGGTCTTTACGTTATTTCATAGGTGTCGGCAGTATTTCACGACGAGACATTAACTGTTTCATTAATATTTTTAATTTCTCCTTATTGAAATTGCCATCGTATGTCTTCAAGTATTTATTCAATTCTCTCCAACTGAAACAAACGTAATTAGGCAATAAATAACCATAACTTACGCGTATACATTGCAGTTTCGTTTTATCAATTTTATACGTCTTACCAGTGCTGCTGCCATCTTTCTGATTCCGACGTTGCTAGAATTCCAGTCTTCTTGCACTTGTAGACCTAAAGAAAATCGAGAGCAATGAGGTATATCGTTATGGCTCGACCAAATTCTTTGAAAACAATTTTATACTGACCTCCAGAGCACGTTCCACCACCTCTCTCTCCAAACCTGCACTTTTCGCCACGGAATGCGCGAAGCTGCAGGTTGCTGTTCCAGGAATCACACGATAGAGAAAAACCAGCGAGCCATCCTCGTTCACGACATACTCGAATGTCTAGATAATAGTTAGACAGAGCAAAAAAAAAGTTACGATAACAATAACAATTTTAACAAGTAGAAAACAGTCGCCACTCCAAGTGCACGTACTTGTTTCTCTACCAAGGGACATTGCGGTACGAAATCCACGACACGATGAATGTGCGTTGCGGCAAATATATGTGGGCAATTCGAGCCCCTTTCTATGAAGTTGCTGAGCACACTGGCTAATAAAGCCAGACCATCTGTTTCCAACGTGCCTTTACCAAATTCATCCATTATGACCAAAGAATTACACGTGGATGAACGTAGAGCCATATTTATCTGTAATAATAAATATTAAAAAAATGTCAACATAAAAAAAAAATATTTTTTTCACCATTTTCAACAAACCTGTCTCAGATCTATTAGAAAGGAACTAGCATTCAGAGCAGTACTTTCGATTGACAGAATTCTTGTCAATAAATGAGTGACTGTGCCAATGGTGGCTGATTCAGCTGGAACATAACAGCCTATATGTGCCATAAACACTATCAGGGCAACCTGTTTTAGATATATTGTCTTCCCACTGGAATTTGGTCCAGTCAGGATCTTCACTCTGCTGGAATCTTCTCTGGACTCTGTATCATTAGGTAAAAATGTGACAAGACGTTCCATCAGTGGATGACGACCTTGTTTTATGGACAGTATTGGAGTCTCGACCATTTTTGGTCTTACGTAATTAAAATCTTGAGCTACCATGGCGAAAGATAGTAATCTATAATTATAAAGATAGTCATATCGATATAATCGATTAGAATAAATTGCTTCTGTATTATTTATATGTGTAATAAATAAAAAAAGGTGTTGTACATACGTATCCAACTCAGCACAGTACTCAATGACTTTAATAACAGGACTGACATGTTTATTTATGTATCGAACCAATTTTGACATTATCTGACTCTCACGGTTAATTATCTTCAAGAATATATCACCCACCGTATCATCTAGTTCTGAAGATAATTCACTATTATAAATAATTCATGTCTCGCAGGATTAAATTTATTCTTCCCTTTTTAAGACTGCAATTTCGCAATTTACCTCGGGCGCCGCTGCTCTTGTAATGACGGATACCATTCACCATGAATTTAAATTCCAGACCAGGAACCTCGTGATCCTCCGGTGGTGAACTGATCCATTCGGTTATGGCCAACACGTAGCAAATGTCAGGAACGTAAATCATTCTACAGCCGAGTACAGATTTTGGCAAAGTCTTCATATCTTTCTCCCCGATTAAGGTAAGAAGCCGCGGTAGGTTACTTCGTTGATGATTCACTGTATAATTTTATATAATTTTAATTGAGGGTTATCAACCGTTGTCTCATCGATCAACTTAGAAAAAAATTAATTCTCTTACATTCGTCAAGTTTTGGATCGACTCCAGGATTAACAGAAAATTTATTCTTCTGTTTGACCCCATCGAAGTCTACTACGTATTTAATAAAATATTTTAAATTGTGCATCTCGTTCGTGATGCCGTTTGCAATTTTTGCAAAGAGTGTACTTTTGCTTTGAATATTTCCGCAGATCTCACCGATGCAAATCACATTCGATATTGTCTAATCAAAAGGGTATTATTATACATATATTGTAATTAATAATCAACAGACTTACCTTGTACAATTTATTCCAATCAGAGGCTGTAGCTTTTGGAGCAGATTGTCTGTCAAGAATAACTTTACCCATAGGATATACGTGCCTTAGACATGATTTCAAATTCTCTATGATATCCTGATTATTCGATTTTAGACAATAATCGATCAGGTTGAATCTCTCGTTTAGCGTATCGATATTCCTGGTCGGATGCCTCAAGAGTTTCCTGCGAGACGAATGAAAAATAACATTCAAAAATAAGCTTTGCGTGTTATCGATCCGATATTTCGTACTTGCCATAAATATCGAACTCCTGATCGCGACTTACAACGATTAAGAATACTGTACAGACTAAGACCTTCCTGACTCTGCAAGTAGTTGCCAAATTTGAATAAACTCGGATGATAACGTGGCTGAACGACTTGCAGTGCATTGTAAGTGTCATCGTCTATCATTACAGCATCTTTCCTATGTGACCAATCGTTCTTCGTGAGAGGATCGAATAAATATATGTAAATAGGTTTCAAATTTCTACACTCACAATGAAATATAATTAATATGAAGATACTGTGCATTTGTCTCGCTCTTGAGCGCCAATCCGCCCCAATGCATATCGAGGTATCTCAACAGTAATCCTAGTGCATGGATCATGACAAGGCACTTGAAGTTGAGCACAGAGTTCAGAAAAATGATCCTTTCGTCGTTAGTGACGTCAGACGTTTCGCAGACGAGTCGAAGACAGTGCACACGACTGCGACAGATTTCGTAATTATTTTCTTTCCTGGGCATAATCTTCAAAACGACTTGGGACGATCTACTGATCTCTGATGACGCCTGGCTACTTGCTTCTTGCTGTTCGTCCATGTTGTGCGTTACTATCAGTCGTTTGACGACATTAACGAAATTATCAGAGACGCCCATTAGCGTGACGACGTATCGTGGCTGACATTGTCTGTATAGAGTCTTTGCGATGTTGAAATCAGGATTGTCATCAGTTATGTCCTCCATTACGAATAATTCAGACGTTATCACGTCGTAGTATGCTGCGCCAAGATGATTCTTTTGGTAAATCATTGCGAGGATGATCTAATTTTTGAAAAAGAATTTTATCAAAGTAGACGGATGAATTTTTCAAGGAGAATCTAGTTCTATTATTATTATTGACTTTTGATAACCTCGTTTCCATCTTCGTTCGACGTAAAACTAGTTTTGTCTGTTACGTTTTGATTTCGCGTAACGTCCTTTTTTTGAATTTCTTCTTTCGAATTTCCCGCGCATTCCTCCTCCTCCGAACTGTCCTCCGATAATATCGCCTCGAAGAGACCAATCAATCTTTTGACGTGTGATATCAAGTACCATTAAATACACGCCAGTTACAACAATAAAATTATTACTCAAATTTGTTCGTAATGATTCTCGAACTGTAGACGAATACTTACGCTGAAGTGTCTCCTTGAAATTCGTCAGTTTCTAAATTACTACTCGAAGTCTTTGGTCCACTCGATGAATTTGTATTTAGAATCCTCTTCTTCTCCATACTGATTCAATTTTTGTTAAGTGCCAGACGACGCGATAATAAGTAAAGAGAAAAATTATTCTCCACAATTATTCTACGACTCGCCGTTACTACGGTCATACGAAGGTAACCCCGCAAGTCAAATGTGTGCTCAAACGAAGTTTAATTATGCTAATAATATCACTGAATAAATTTCTAAAGGAGTATCAAAGTGCATCAATTATTTGTAAATAAATTATAATCATTTGTAACAATATTTCCGTTTATTTGATTACGTTACATGAGCAAATATCGTTGTCCGTTTGTTCCCTGTACATAATTACAATATGTATATCTATATATACTATTCCTAAACCTCTTGGAAAAAAAAAAAAACCAAAAAACGTATCCGATAATATTTACCAATACGAAGCGTCACTTCAACTCCTCTTATGTATAGTTCGTTGTGATGTAATTACATTTCCTTTATGCTAATGATCTTTGATTGGACGGTTTGTTAATACTTATTCGTAAAATGGAAGTAAGTACAAGACGGAGAGACGTCAGCTGCAGCGTCGTACACGGAACACATTTGGTTAGGAGTTACGATGAGTTTTGAGTTATGCAATACGAATATACTCATTTAATTATAGTCATAGATATCGGAATGTGGTTATATCTAAATATAATCGTCGATTAATTACGATTAATCATTAGTGAGGCAAAACTTAAAAAATAAGGCAACTTGCTCTGTTCGCCCCATTTCTTTTGTCCAACCTCTTAATTCTAATTAGTTAAATTTAACTGAATCATTTAAACGGTATTACATCTATATTACATTTTGTCCATTGTGTAAAAACAATCATAAAAATAATTTATCTATATATGTATAATATGTGTATAATCAATTCTGTCTATCCACTATATTATTATATACGGACACGGGATTTCGATAATTTCTCTAAATGACTAATTATAGATACATTGATCGAGTAGTTTACAGTAACTATGATTAATGCCTAACTGGGAATAGGCGGAGGGGGTTGTGGATTGAAAGAAATTGGCCGGTAGCTCTTCTCTCTGACAAATGGCTGAATTCCATTGAGCATCAAGCCATTCAAAGGACTCCGTTCTTGTTTGATAGCCTCCAAGGGAATTTCATCCTCAGAGCTGACGACGTCCTCGCTTCTTGCTGGGCTAGCCGACCTGGTTAACGTTTTCTTACACTCTCTACCTTATTCACTTATACATATATATATAAAGACAAAACATGTTTTCCTTACATTTCATAAAAATTCCTCGAATCATTTTCCATATTTCATTCTCGTTTCCATTAAAGCGCGCAAACCGCATTCGCTCCATATTGTACCACAGGTACCAGCATACCTATTGTACAGCTACACGAATCCCAAGGCGTAGTTAGAAGCGCACGATTTGCTTATATCTTTATAATGCTTTCTCTCTATCGTTTTGTTTTAATGAAGCGTTGTTAGATGACTAGAGGTGTTAAGACTATTTACTTTTTACGCCCACCTTAAAACCTGCATAAAATCAAAAATCGAAAGCCAAATATTAACAGGTATACTCGTGGGAATACTTATGGATACAAGGGCGATCAAGGGTGATTTGAGGCGGTTTGAAGATACGGCGGGAAGCATTATCTTTTAAATAATAATGCTAATCGTATGGAAGCGAGCGGGGGTTGTCGAGGGTTCTTTGTTAATAGTACTTCTGTTCGATTTTCTACAAAAACAAAAAAGATAAATAATACGTCGTCTTAGAGTTAATCCCAAAAGTTCCAAACAACATCCCTAATACTTGGAGTATAAGTTTTTAATATGATTGACATAAAAAAATTAATAAAAATTTATTATTCAATTATATATTATACGTGGTAACCTTAAGGAATCCATCCATGCACATGCGTATAGCGTTAACGTCCTTTAACTCCAAATTACTCATTTTCTGGAGCATCCTTCGATTAATCTCGCACTATGGATTCAAGCTGCATTCAGGGCAATCAATGATATCATACTACGATCATACCTAGATCGAAGTGGCTTATTCTTGTTTCCGGTTTGTCTGGAGTGTGGTCTGGTGTTTGGCTGCGAGAGTTCGCTGTCGCTACTTGCAAGGGACGATCTGGCCGCCACGGCACCGTGGGCAAAATCCTTCCTGTTGTACGAGAAACTGATTATTACCAAGTAATTACCTTACGGTTTGCTATACTATATCTATATATAAAGGCATAGAGGAAGTACCCGTACGCGCCGCGTGCCTAGCGCGTACGTGTACCGTTAGTATAATCGTATTATATAGAAGCGTGAAGCACGCGCTTTGTAAAAGTGGGTAAAACTGTTTCCTTAGCTGGGAAAACGATACTCGAGCAACGTTAACGAAGCATTGTTAACCAAGTTATTATGAATGTACTATAGAGCTGATCATGAAGGCTCAAGACGTTTATGTTATATCGGTACTTGGCCTTAAGACCTATTAAAAGTTATAGCTTGGACTGTACTATGGATGCAACAGTATAGTGGCTCCACCTGTAATTATCCGATCTTGGAGTGCCGTTTGGATTGATTGGTTTGCCAATGTGAACATTTGCGTCGATGAAGACTGGATTGCTCTTGGGTATGTCGTAGACGACCTTAGGATGAACGGTGGTATGCTTGTATTCTATGTGCGATGAATTTTCAGGCGCCCAGTCGTAGTATCGTGGTCGGTAGTCTTTGTATTCTCGTTGTTGTTGTTGCTGCTGACGATATTCCTCTCCAGGAACTATTTTCCTGTTGTATTCGTCACTACTGGCGCTGTTCTTACGAGTAGCTGCGAGTTTTCCCGGCGTCGCTGAGGTGGGCGAGGATGCCGATGAGGAAGGTGCGCCATCTGGATCAGCTCGGGATAGTTGAGTATTGTTGTCCCAGACGGTCGGTAGGCTACTGTATTTGTAACGACAGGTTGAAATAAATTTTATGGATTATTGTTTTGGGAAATTTAATGATTTACCTGATATTTTCATCCATGCTAAATAATCTTAATTGCTGTCTAATGCTCGCCTTCTCTCTCGCTCGTTTCTTCTGAAACTCTTCCTCGACTTTTCTCATCGCTTCCAGTTCTCCCTTCCTTTGACGTTCCTTAGCCTCCGCTTCGCGTGATAATTTCTCTGCTAATCTGCGCCTTTCGATTTGGCGTACAGTCGATTGGAATGTGAATCTCTTAGATTTAGAGTTTTGTTTCGGTGTAATCTTCAGATCCGAGAGAGTCTCCTTGGCGTCCTGAAGATTTTCTGGTCCTGGCGATGGTGACCTACCTCGCTGTTTCATCTCGGATATATTCTCGCAGGATTTCGAGAAGCTCGAGTACTTGTATGATTTTTGTCGTAGATCGTTAAAAGATCGTTCTCTGAATAGTCCAAGATCCTTAGCTATCTTTGAAGATCGTTCAATTTCCGCTGATCCCGTGGGGTACCTAGAGGACTTCTTCACGTCCTCCATGTTCTTTCTGTACTTAGAACCAGCGTTACAGGATGTCTTATCATTCTCGGAACTTGTGTTTCTGTAGGTGAGACTCTGGGTTTGGTACTCAGTACCACTAGACTCTGGTAAGTACATCACGTGACCACCGGAAGCCAGATATGAGAATGACGGTGGTTTCATAATGATAGGAAAATCTGATTTGTCCTCTTCGTCCTCTTCCATATCTTCCATACCGAATCCAGGCTCCCATACAGGTGAAGCTATAGCGGCACTCTCATTCACCTGATTATGCTGAAGAGAATTAGGCGCGCTTGTGGATAGCATCCAATTGTCATCCAGAGTGTCACCGCGCTGCTTCCGCTCTAAATCCATGAGTCCAAGTCCAAGGGCGCCGGAAACGGATCTTTTGAGCTTTTGCAGAGAATTAAATGGCGGACTATCTTTGCTCTTAAGTTCTGAACTGTAGAGGGACATTCTATTGTCATCCCGTGGCAATGACAGCGAAAACACATGGGCCCTTGGTGGGAATTTAACAGGCGTCACCATTGGGGGCGGAGAGTCGACGCCGGCGTCGCTACTCGATTCCTCGCCAAGATCTTGCTGCGGCGTCCATGTTGGTCTCACTGCAGTTTTGGTTCTACCGATAGCAGTGATGTCCAAGGAATCGTCATTGACAGCGCCTGCATCACCAGAAATACCAGAATCTCCAGATTTGTCATGTGACGAACGTGGTCCCAGGGCTACAATTGGTGGCGGCCCTCTTGAGAGTCGCTCAATCCGTTCCTCAAATAACACCTAAAATATTAAATGACTTAATGGCAAGAAGAAAAGATTAATTCTTTAATCATTCAACGTAAGGGCACTCAAAGGCCATTTCGAGCCAACTAGAATAATTTATATGCGCCAAGTCGGAATTTGATTTACTTTTATTACGTAATATCTTATGTCGTGAGTGTGATTCACGATCATTAAATCACTGCTTATGTCAGTGAGTCATTGAATGAGCCAGTAAGTCTGTCAGTCTATTGCTCGTATATCCAAGCATTACGTTCCTCAGTAACCACTTACCGGACAATCTTCGCTTGCTGTGCTCATCGTTGGTCCAGGAGTCTCTAATGCTGAGAGCAGCCGCCAGGCGGCTGAAGGTGAGAATCGCGGTATTTCCAATTGTTTCTTAGGGAGGGTTGGTCTCAGTTTCAGGGCTATATCGTCAGTTCCGTTTTTTTCTCTGGACTGTTAAAAAAAAAATTAGATTAGAAGGCAGAACAAAATATGTAAAATAGAAAATTTGTATACTATTAAAAATACATTTACATCGTCTACGTCGATCGATGGCCCTTCCGGCGAACTCTCCATTGACTGTAAACTCGATTTAAGCTGATCAATGCAATCTCTAGATTTGTTTGACAATGACTCGTCCATACCGAAGTAAAATGTCTTGGGCGGTGACTTATCCGTTGGCGATAAACTACAATTAAAACGAATAAACAAATAAACACGGAGATTATCGATTTACCAAAAACCTGTAACCAATGATCTTACATCTCCCAGTTCCTCTCATGGACACCTTTGACGTCTCCCGTTTTTCTATAGAGCTTCTCTTTGGTTTTTGTTTCCTTCGCTTCCAGTTTCGTCACAGGCTCGGACTTCCGTTTCTCGTTGCTCTTGAAGACGTTGGACCTCAAGTCGACGTTTCGTCTCCTGGAGTCATTGCTGTCGCGATCCTTACTTCTCGGTGGTTCCGGCGTACTTTCCCTCCCGGATCCCTGACCTCGAAGATCTACCTTATCCCTGAACTGCCGCACAGGACTCTCGGACCTGGTCCTGGCAGAATCTATTACGTCGTCCAACTTCCGATTTTTCGCTCTGTCACCGTGTCTAGACATCTCCTCGGAACAGTCCCTCCTCTGCTTATCCAGAGAGTGTCCTCTGGCGTCCAGCCTGTCGTTCAACGACTTCCGGCCATTCCCACGACGGGAACCATCGACGGGTTCGCTAGTGCCATCATAGGTAGTAGATTTTCTAAGTAGCTCGTGCTTGGAATTTCTTATCTCGTCCTGACGATTCTCGAAGGATTCCTTAGAGAGGCTGTCGCTCCTTCTACCGTCAGGACGCCTGTCATCGAACCTCCTGTCATTCTGTAATCGAGCTACGAGCCTACTGTCACCATTACGTCGATCCTCAAAGTACTCCTCCTGACTCCTGCCGCTCCGTTTATCCATCCTACGATCATCGAATCGGTCCTCGTGTCTTCTGGCATTCCGATCATCGGCAGTGCGACTGTTCTGAGTCCTACCAGGCACTTCCCCCCGATGATTGGCAGGAGCGGCCTCGCCCACGGGAGCTTCCCGTTTGTAATTTAACTTATTGCGAACCTTCCTAGCGACCTGCATCAGTTCCGCCTGGAACTCCGGACTGCTCAGACTCCTCTGAAGAGTATTCTTCCCGTCAAAGTGCTTAGATCTTCGCTCCTCACGATCCCAACGCTCCTCCTGCTCCCGCCAGATTATATTCTCCTTGCCAACGCGCTCCTGACGCGACGCCAGCCACCTCTTATCCTGTTCAACGTCCACGCGTTCCTGCAACGAAGTCCAATTTACTTGGGCCCGCTTCGTTTCCGCTCTGGTCTTGAAGAGTCGCGACCTCCTGGGTGGAGGCTGTATCTCATCCGAACGTGTCTCACGGTCCAGACCGATTTCCCACTTGTAGGAGTCCGGGGAGGAATCCCCGTTTGCCGGCGGTGCCGGAGCTTTGTACTTCTTCTTGCCCTTGTAACGGCTCTCTCTCTCCCGGGCGTCCCGTTCCGAGTATCCCTGGTGACGAGGCTCGTGTCGCCGTTCCGACGGCGAGTATCTCAGGTCAGGTTCGCTTCCGAATCTCTTCATCTCGGACATCTCGCTGTCGCGCGACTCGCCCGGATAGTGGCAGCACTGATCACTTGAATTCTGAGTACGACCTGCATTGCTATATCCAGTTGCCGAGGTACTGCGAGATCTGTACGCTGCTTGCTGCAATAGAAATGCACAGGTTGCAATTGATTCTAATCACCGACACGATAACACCGGGTTTGACGCTGTGAGATACCGGAAATATTGGTACAATTTTTGAAACGATCTCAACAGCCTGAGACCTTTGCCACCGAATTGACCAGGACGAAATGACACCCACCTTAAAGGAACCCTGTTATATATAACCAGAACAATGTATTCCAAATTTCCAATGTGTACAGATACTTTCTAAGTATTTCCAAAAAAAAGAAAAAAGAAAATTCTAGAACGAACATTAAACCCAGTTACATGCGTAATCTCTGATCGGATGCCAAAGCGTCCAAGTCAAGGTCCGTGAACTCTTTTACAACTTCCCGATCTTCCCCGTGGGTTCCACGAGATTAACGATTTCAGACGCGTATTAGAAATTCCGCATGCATAATGAAACCGGCCATCGAATAACACAGCGTAACCGAGAAAGTGGACTGAAGAGTGACAAACCCTGATACTCTTTTCGCAAGTTCCTCCGACAACAACAATAACTCCCGACATTGTCCTACCTTATTGAGGTTATGCGGCAACGTCAATGCGGATGGTCTGCGTCCACTTATGGTACCACCATTATGTATGATACTTCCATTATTGGTAGCGCGCAGTCGCTGATTGGGTGGTTCCGGAAGTACCTTGAGTCCCTGAGGTTGAGAGTGTCTGGTCAATTCACGTGGAAAGGAATGGGTCCATCCGCGCCCCATTTCCTGGGCCAGACCACCACCCGCCGCATAGTGCTGATGAGAACTGCTATTGTTTCCCATATTTATTCCTTATTTCTTCAATTTCACGTCTTCACGCACGTACGCGTCATCCTTGACCTAGAAGAGAAATAAAGTTTGTTAAACTTCATACACTCTCTGTACCGTACGAGTATGTATCTATACGTGGTGCTTCATTGAGCTCCGTACGAAGAAGGCAAAGGTAGGTAAGTGCACAAAGTCTGGCCAATCCGGACAGGCCAGTCATCTTACAGTTAGACACCGCTTAACCTCGTGTCAACCTCATCGGTCCACGGCAAAGCAATGTGTCTTCTAAAGTGAGTTCTTCCATTCACCTAAGCGAGAGCACCTGCCTGCCTGACTGCCTGCTTGGTTACCTGGGCCAGAGCCTGCACTCCAAGACCTCGACTCAAAGACTCGAAGTACCGCTAAGCAATGACTAACGACCCGGCGGGCGTTGGAAGCGCGACGAGAAAAACATTGCCCGGGAAATATCATTGATTTAGAGAAGGACGTACAGAGAGGAGAAATTCCATTGGAGATACAGTTTCGTGTATTTTGTCCTTTTCTTTTGTACCTTTTAAATTTAGCAGCGAATACGCGCAGGTACAGCCGGGCTCATCCATCTTGATTAGGATGCCGGAACGATTAGCCAGGTATGTAGATTTCGTGTAAATCTCTTCTGGTTCTATCTAATCGATGGAATGTATCAATTTCTTCTTCCTGCTGGTCTGTTTTTTTTTTCTTCCCTTTTTTCCCCCTTGAAGAATCTCAACCAATCATCGATTCTACTTGATCCCTATAACGGTATTAAGCTGCGATATTATTTTCTTTGGAGTAACCAGCACTCCGTATGGTTGCAGCTGGCGAGGGCCGGGGTCGTAATTTTGTTATTTCTAGCAATGATATTTTCTTTGAAAAATCAATTTCGCTCAGGACTTTTGTAAAAGTGAAATTTCTTCGTAGCTCGAAAGTATGGTAACGGTGGGGATTTGAATTAAAAGAGAAACTTTGGTAACCCCAGGTCCAGGAAGTGTCACAGCATCCGAATCGTCGGTCCATCCGCTTATAGGAATTCGCCATGGCTATTTCGTGACCAATAAAAATTATCATTTCCGTGAATACTGTACAGACTTGCTTTCTTACCTGTCTCGTTTCTTCATCGAGACATTGACAGCGCTGCAATTTCTTTTTTGGCCTCTACTAGAAACGTTACCCTACGCGCGTTCTCACACGAATCGATGATCTCGAATCGATCGACTCGATCGATCGTGATCGATCGATACGACAAGAACGCTTCCCGACTGGTCGCGTATCTTTTTTTCTTTCTCGACTGGGAACCGTAAAATACAGTTAACACAGTTAGTGGGTATTTGGATCAGGTTGACTGTGTCCAGCGCCGAAAGATCAAAGGGCCTTTTTGCGTGACAAGACGCCACTACTGTTTGACCAGCCGTGCTGGCTCCTCTGCACTGCTGCGAGGATCGATAATAATCGATATCCGTGGTACCATCGCTAGATCGCTCGATCGGGAAAAGATCATCCTGCCACGAGATCCAACCGATCCATCAGGCAGATCCTACGGCTCGCGATGAGGACGCGGCACAAAGTAACAGCTGATGCGTGACGAAAGGTGGTGGTTATGATATCTTGGACCTGGATGATGATCTTGAGTCATCGAACTTTGACGATTCGAAGATAAAAATATTATTTTTCTTGGCGCCATCGTACCTTACGCCTACTTACCACTCTGTAGGTGCTTGTCTACTATCTTAATCGCAACAGTTAACTGACCGGTCATCTACAGGTATATTAAAACGGGACTTCCATTCTCAAATATCATAAGAAATTTTTTTAAATATCAATTTCGAAATATACCCGTCGAAAGACATATATCAGAAAAATACACTAATTGTGATAAACTGCAAATGTACCGCCCGATTCCGACCGCCTTGATCGTCCGTAATTCCTTCGTCTCCAGGTATCCCAGATACCCCAAGATGACAAATATTCACGGAAATTCATTATACGCGCATGACGGCGGAACGTGTAGTCATTACAAGAACAAAAGAAGAAAAAAATTACCGTGAACAATCGCTCTAATTCCTCCCGAACGAGAATTTAATTCCAAGTACGTATATTCGCGACTGCCTGCCATTACGGAATCGTTGACACACATCCGAGCAGACGGTTAGCATTCGGCAATTCGCACCCTGTTAATTAATTACGAAATAAAAGGTCAATGACATTCGTCGTTCAGCATTCCGCGTGCAGAACCAGCCCGATAGCCATAACGATAATTCGCGACGACCAAAGGAAACCAAAGCCATGCGTATACGTGACAGAGCATCTGTCGTAGGTAATAAAATCGATCGTTCCTAATTATCGATGATAAGTGCGTCGTTAGCAATGCGTAATAATGACCGAGGGATTATAGTCACGCACGATGACGTAACACGAGCTATAGTACGTAATGAACCGAGGACACGTATATAACGCGTGTCCATTAAAATCGTGAAGCACGAAAGAAGAAGAAGAAGAAGAAGAAGAAGAAAAAGAAGAAGAGATTACTACGGGAGGCCACGAAGGTGCAGGATCATCGTCTGCCCGAGCGAGATACGTATTGCCTACATGAATTTCTTGTCTCGCAATATGTACACACGCGCTGTACGTGCGGTACAGTTTCTGATATCTGGCTACAGTAAATACTCGTACGTGACTGTACGCCGCACGTCATTGCACTGCGCGGATGCGAGTTGACTTGGAAGTGAATGAATCCAGGAAGGTAACCCGATGCAGTGTAAAGTCTCGCTCGGCTCCGAGAGTTCACCAAGTTCTTCCGTGATCCTCGCGCGACCTGCTGGGCATCGTATCCGATGACAAATATTCCCGGAAATCTGTCCCTTGCGTGACGAGGAGCCAGTGGTAGCGGTAGGGGCGCGCAGCTAGGTTAGAAAAGTTGCGACGTGTTAACGTACACGTATATGGATTAGATTAAATTTGTTATTTCGAAGAAAGAGAAGAAACGAAGTATAATGACAATTAATGAATTTCATTGATATTAATGATCCGCCTTAAATTTTAGGCAAAGAGGATTCGTAACAGTAATGGCCCAAAAGTGTCTCAAGGTCCACTGCCGGTTGGGTCGCTAACCGTCAAGTCGTGCAACACCGTTGTGGTTTATCGCACCGAAGTGACTATCGAGGTTTACAGGCATTTACGTAGTAACGTTTTGAACATGGATAAACCGGTACAACGGATAGGCGAGATAATTAATGAGTGTTGAGAGGAGAGCGAGAGAGATAGGCAATATGTATATCATAGGTGATGTTTACCAGTGAGAAAACGTCCTTGCGGAAGGATTCTGTAGGATTTCACGATGGATTCTCCGTGCACCTGCGGTGCATCCTTCTCCGATGGAAATTCGCAGGAGGCTTGTCCGGGTTAAAGGAAGTAAATTCCGGTAAATTCGAGAGGAAAAGGGGATACGAAAATTGTAAGGAAAAGTTAAAGAATCAATAGAGAGTCCCCGGCGAACGAAATAACCAGAAGGTTCGTGGAAAAAGTTAAAAGCGAGAAAAGTGTTTGCTCGCTGTCTCGATCTCTGTGAGAACTGCTAGTAATCGGTTCGGCTCGGATGCCCTTTGTCTCCACTTCGATCAGACCAAGCGCGAAGTGACGCCACGAGGTCGGGCGTCGTTGCTCCAACGATTCGGCGCCTGTTTCGAGAGCCGCCATAAGTCGTTACACCTAAATCGATTGGAATACCTTTGAATTATGTCAGACGACTGCGCTGATAACAGCTAATGGGGCTATCGCGTATCGTTTCATGCGCTGTATCCATTTTTCGTCTACCTCGACTTTCACCCTGCCGCGGGCAATATTTTCTTACGTCATATTTCCAAATTTTCATGAAACTGCCAAAAGCTGCGATCTAACCTGGACTAGGGAGCTCAGGACATCGGAGTCGCATCAGCTGGAGAAACGTTAACGTTATTTTCGTATAAGGCGTTCGGGGCTTGAGAGTGAGAGAGGAAATGAATGCCAAAAAATAAAGGCGAGTTTTCACTCGTACATGAACGACGCGAGCCCTGCTTCTCGCTTGCTTTATAAACGGCATCACGAATCCTCGTCCAACTCTCGGCAAAGTAAATGCAGATTGCGCGAGCATATGTCTAGGCCTGTCTCGCAACTCTTGCTTAATTGACGCTGAGATCCTTCGGATGCCGTTCCCTCTCTCGGTTTCCATGGCGCGACTTATCGAGCCCGGGTGTACGTATACAGTACAGAGGCACCCGATGTAATATATCGCACGTTAAGCCTGGCTACCGCATCGACGTCGATTGCGATTTTTCACTCGTTAGACTCCATAAATCGAGACCTCGACCCGAACCCTTTAATTAGTCAGGAATCGTAACTTCGATATAATCCGCCATGTTGGATCGAGCAGGTGCTATACCGCTTTGATCTGTACCGTGAAGTTGTTTAGCTACCTACCGCAGGAGGCGGAGGATGAGGACGAGAGAAGGTTAACTCGCCTACGCCGATCGCCGGCAATGAGAATTCCTCATTAATTTCTCAATTGCAGGTTACGTATGCAGTAGTATCGGCTCGCGAGATGAATTGCCAGTCGGGGAATGAAAAAAAAAAAAAAAAAAAAAATTTGAAGAATGAATGCGCGTTAATGAATGGTTTTTTACGATTCATTTTTCAATGTAAATCAAAGGATATGTATGTGCGCACAGCCGAGCGTCTCCGTCTCGTTAACGAGTGATTTCGCGATAAAAGCGGGGAAAAAAAAAAAAAAAAAAAAAAAAAATTTGAAGAATGAATGCGCGTTAATGAATGGTTTTTTACGATTCATTTTTCAATGTAAATCAAAGGATATGTATGTGCGCACAGCCGAGCGTCTCCGTCTCGTTAACGAGTGATTTCGCGATAAAAGTTCGTATCTAATTTAGTCAGCGACGCGTCGTACTTTTACGAGCGATCTAGACGAGGGCGTGATTAAAGTTCGTAAATCCCGTAGGGCGCGCGGCACGTATCCCTTTAATTAATCATTTTCCAAGGAGTCCCGTCCTGTCAAGTCGTGAATCGCG